TCAGCAGTCGCGGCACCGCTGCCACGAGCTGGTCCCTCATCAGACGGGACTTTTCTCCAGTCCGGTCCAGGTCCCACAGCCTGAGCATACTGAACAAGCGGACCACAGCTGCGGCCCATGTGTGCCAGTGAGCCCCGGTGGAGACTGGTGGAACCGCAGTTTGTCATTACTGGAAAAAAGTGTGCTCCTATTTAAACACAATTTTCTAAATAAAGGCTGAGTGCATTTAGAAAGGAAAGCACAACATGTTATTTCTGCAGCGCCTTGTTGTCAGTTCTAATAGCGTCGACGCGTCGGTCGTGCACTTTTTTTTTTTGGGGGGGGGGTTGGGGGGTGTGTGTTCAAAGCACTTTGCAGTCGACTTGATGGCAGAACGTCGCGCTGGTATCAGATTTTTTCATCGTCAGAGAGGAACTCACAGGTGCCGGAACAGACACCGACACGTCAACGACACGTCAGAGCTGCCGCATCGCTGCCCGCCCCAACGTTTACGCCTCTGGCGTCGGGTCGGGTCGTGTCCCGTCGATCTGTGTCTGGATGTAAAGCGTTTCAACATCACGCTGTCGTACTGGTCTGCGTTACACACGGAGGGCGGGGTTCTGAGATTAGAGGTTGAGTAAACGCAGTATTGTGGGTATTATTTGTAAAGAGAGAGAGAGAGAGAGAGAGAGAACCCCCCTCCCCTGCCCCCCCGTCTGTGCCACCCACAGACATATACAGTATATACAGGTACCTCACTTGAGGTTTTGAAAACCAGAATAACAATTTAGCACTCAATTGTCTGAGTGTCAGATTTACTTGACGGCACTAGTTTAACCGAGTATTTTCAACCACACACACACACACACACACACACACACACACACTCCCTCCGCCCTCTCTCAGAGTCATTCCACATGTCTAGCAGGCTTACCTGTGGCCAATAAAGAACAAAAACAAGCAGCCAAACGCAGCGTCTGCCAGAGCGCAGCCGTCCTGTCACTGCACGCTCTGTAATGAGCTCTTAATTACCCCGTCTGTCTGGAGCAACAACACAAACACCACTGTACACACTGCTGTTGTATTCAGTTGTATTTTCCCTAATGTTGCAATCCTGTCTCTGTGTGTGTGTGTGTGTGTGTGTGTGTTTTCAAAATCCTGAGTAACATGGAGCAGATGTCTGAAGACGACCTGTTAACAACAGAACTGAGACGGTGTTTCACGGCCCAGACAACAACATGTAGTAAGGAGGCTTTAGGCGGAGATGACGCTGTATTTTTGTTCTCATTTTGTTGTCTTCAAAAAAAAAAAAAAAAAAAAAAGGCGAGGTTCCCAAACGCCAGATAATGGAAAACATCTTTTGTAACAGCGAGTCGAGAATCCGCTTAATTATAAGGTGTTGATGGGAGATCTATGGCCCGGGAATTCTCAAACAAACAGGCCCCGGGATTTAAAGTATCTGCAGAACACGACGGTGTCTGGCAGATCTGCCTACGACACAGACGACGCGCTGTTGACATGTAAACATTTGGCTGCGTCGCCTCGTGGGATTTATTTTATTTATTACTGCTGTGTTTGTGTTGG